CTATAAGAAAGGACAGAAGTCTTCTTGTGACAATCACAGAGGAATAAGTCTAACTAATATAGTATCTAAAATATTGGCCTCAGTAATACTTCGACGCTTAACGAAAGCTCGTGGAGAGCAGACTCGAGAAAACCAGGCTGGTTTTCGACCTGGACGTGGCTGTATAGACCACGTCTTCACACTCAGACAGGTCCTGGAACACAGACACACATTTAGGCGTCCTACAATAGTTGTTTTCCTAGACCTTAAGGCCGCATTTGACTCTGTGGATCGTGAGGTTCTGTGGCAGTGTCTGTCATTGAAAGGTGTACCAAATAAGTACATTAACCTCATACAAGCTCTCTACTCAAACACCACTGGTCGAATGAGAGCTTATGGCGAACTGTCACCGGAATTCTTCACTTCAAGTGGTGTCCGTCAGGGATGTCCACTTTCTCCATTCTTGTTTAATTTTATCATAGACATGCTCTCAGAAATAACATTATCCTCGTCTGAATTTTCTGGAGTAGACCTTCTACTAGGTGGCTCGCTTATTGACTTAGAATATGCCGATGACATTGTCCTACTTGGTGAAGATGCTGACAAAATGCAGAGTCTTCTGACTACCCTAAGCAATAATGCAAGCATGTTCGGGATGCGGTTTTCCCCCTCGAAATGCAAAATGTTGCTTCAAGACTGGGTTTCATCGGCACCTGAACTAGTGATAGGGAGTGAAGTGGTCGAACGTGTAGACCGCTTCACTTATCTTGGGAGTCTCATCAGTGCCGATGGCTTGGTGACTGACGAAATCTCAGCATGGATACAGAAGGCTCGATTGGCTTTTGCCAACCTGCGTCACTTATGGCGTAGGCGTGATATCCGTTTGCTGACTAAAGGACGAGTGTACTGTGCAGCAGTTCGCTTCGTTCTCCTATATGGCTGTGAAACATGGCCAGTGAGAGTAGAAGATATTCGTAGGTTACTGGTTTTCGATCATAGGTGTCTTCGAAGCATTGCTCGTATACCGTGGGACAACCGAGTGAGCAATGCTGTCGTTAGGAAACGAGTACTAGGTAAGGATGGCAGATCAATAGTGAAGTAGTGAAACTTCATCAGTTGAGGTGGTTGGGACATGTGTTGCGTATGTCCAACCATCGACTGCCTCGAAGATCATTATTTTGTGGTGTAGGAGTAGATTGGAAGAAAGTTAGGGGTGGCCAAACCAAAACATGGCAAAAATCCATGAAGTCATTGACTAGTGGACTTAGCCATGTCGGTAATTGTCGACTACCGGGTTGGGGTACACGAGATGATAATAATCGATGGTTAGAGACCTTGAATGACATGGCTCAAAATCGTTCGCAATGGCGCCGGTGCATTTATTCTTTGTGTTCTCTCAAATCCTAATCTTCTGGATTCTTCAACCTCACTAGTTTTGACTTTCTAAACTTTTCTCACTGAATCATACTTCTTGAAAAGTATCTTCTAATCCTAACCTCTCCGATTACTTCTAATTCCCTTACTACCTCTAATACTATTGGATTTGAATAGACAATTATATCTCTGTGCTGATGTGGTATGGCGACATGAACTGATGTACTTGTGTACGAAGTTCTACGTTGCATCTGACTGACTGACTGACTGACATCTTACACTCTTATTCAAATGCCTTCCGGGTAATGAAATAGTAGTTAACCCAGACAAGTGTGAACTGAGTAAGCCAGAGAGGAATTTCTTGTGTCATATCATTGAGCAAGAACGTATTTTACCCAGTGAAGACAAAGTACGTGCAATCACGGGGTACACTGTGCCGTCCTCACTCAATGAACTGAAGGCTTTTCTCGGTTTGGTTAACTACTATCGACGTTTGATTCCTCACACGACAGAGCATTTACGACCACTAACCGACTTACCTCGCTGTAATCCACGCAAATTAGAATTAAACGGTGCCGCGAGTACTGCACTTTCAGAGATCAAAAAAGCTTCAGATCAAGCCGCGCTTTTCGCTCATCCTGACTCTTTAACCACGCTTAGTTTAGAAGTTGATGCATCAGATTTCGCTGTAGGAGCCCTTATGCGACGGAACATCTCTGGAAGTTGGAAACCTCCCGAATTTTTCCCACGACGCCTTACTCCCACAGAGACGAGATATAGCGTTTTTGGTCGCAAACCGCTAGCAGCCTACAGTTCCATCAAACATTTCCTGAACGCAGTAAAAGGTCGTACCTTTATCCTCTTCACCGACTAACGTATGTTTGTGTACGAAGTCTGACCAGATATTTGGACTATATCTCTCAGTTCACGACAGACCTTCGTCATATTAAAGGCGGGTCAAAATATGTTGCCTATGCTCTGTCACGTATTCAAGTTAATGCGGTTACTTTATTAGTGCTTGATCTTCCTGCTATGACTGCTGCACAAGCAAATGATCCCTCTTGTACAGATATACAACAATTTCCATCCCCTCAGTGCCAGGAATTACCACTAGCTACCACCTCAGGTACTATCCTGTGCGACAACTCTACTGGTTTATCCTATTGTACCTTCTGCTCATCGTCGTCTCGTCTTCGATGTCCTCCATGTGTTGTCTCATCCAGGTATAGCAGCCACATTACGTCTCATCGCTGCACGATACGTCGAGCCGTCAATAAATAAAGATGTCCGTATGTGGGTAAAGCAGTGCTTACAATATCAACGGTCAAAAGTGCACAGGCACGTAGCCGCCCGTTTCGGCACATTCGCTACTGCTGATGCTCGCTCCGATCATGTTCACACCGACATTGTAGGACCTTTGCTACCATCGCATGAGTATGATCACATACTCATGTTCATCGATCGTTTCACAAGATGACCCGAAGCTATTCTCACCACTTCTATTACGGCGCAGACAGTTGCTTACCGCTCCGTAGAACGATGAACAGCTCATTACGGTTGTCCCTCAACTGTCACGTCGGACCGAGGACAACTATTCGTGCACGAGTTGATCTCTTCGCTAACCCGGATGCTTAGTGTGGAGCGATGATGAACTACCGCCTAGCACCCAGCGTAAGATGGTTTAATTGAGTGGCTTCATCGCCAACTCACAAACGCTCTTCGAGCACACGAAGACAACAACTGGTACTAAACCTTGCTGCTCGCCCTCTTATGTATCAGAACAAGCTTAAAGGAAGACATTCTATGTTCGGCCGCTGAACTGGTATACGGCACGACAACGCGTCTGCCTGGGGAATTTTTCGCACCATGGAGAAGCGACAATTTTGGTAAATCAGACTGCCTCCAACGATTGTCTGAATTCATACAAACACTGCCTACGGTGTCAACTCAACCTTAGGTGCAGCCTTACGAAGGACATTTACGAGGTATTTCTCGTCATGAAGAGACGTTCAAGGTTGATCGACATGGACGAGTCAAGATAGCCAGCATCGGTTGTCTCAAGCCAGCATACGTCGGTAAAAGTGCCCTACCCAATAATTTGAGACCCGATGCTAGTCCCATCAAACCTACTAGCGGGATCCCTACACCTACATCGGAAAACACGCTAGATGCATAAGAGACCTCATTCTCATGTCCAAGTCAACAGCGCGCGCAATTTGCATCACCTACGGATGAGATTCCGGTTTCACGTTCAGATCAGCCGACTACGCTGTCTTTGACGTTGCAGCAGATCACAGTCTTATGCCCTCAATCGGTCTCTCAGTCAGCTTTTATCCTTGGTAAATCGAAGGGTTCCTGAAACTTCTGGGATATTTGCCAAATGTGTCGTGATACAAACATCGGGTCAGACTGTCTGTTTCTACACTGCGCGAAACATCATTTTCCGTATGGGTTTCTTAGGAGGGTCTTGGATCGTTTGCACTTATGCTGGAAGTTAACAAGGTGAATGATAGTATTAAAGAGGTTCACAGTCTCATATCGTTTGTTACAGGGCATTTGTTCAGCAGAACGATCTTCGAAGATGGGATTCCGGCTAGTTCGTCTATGATTCTCTTTTGAAGTGAGACAAGAACGGTTTACACTTACTATGAAAACAAAGATTGAAAGCAATATCTGAATAGACCTTCGTTGAATGTTCGCTGTTCAACGACCTTTCTCCTATATACAACAGGTCTATTGCAGTCATATGGCAACCCGATGATGATGAGTAGCTGGTATAAATTCTGTCGAAAGCCTTGATCTCTACATATAGGAACTACTTTATTCTAATTCATTATTATTGTCATTATATAGTTTGAAACCATCAATAGAATACATATTGGATGTGAGGAACATATTGGACTCACCCGGAACTGCCTTCACCACTGGGAAGAACAGTGCATATGGATCTGACACACTGTCAGCCTCTATGTAGCTGAACCAAGCTTCCACATTATCAGGCCGAAATGGCATCACTTGAAAGCTGATGAACGTGAAAATCTCAAACGCTGGAAGCCTTGGTGTATTCCCCAACATTATGATGTAAACATATGCAAAAATTCTGATAACCCAAAAATACGACAACGTCTACAGCTCCACATTTACATGGAGAGTTACAAAAAAGAAAGTACCGATGGCTTCCGTCCAGCTAACTACCTCATGTTGTGACCACTGATCACAGGTCATTATCAGTGGTATTCAGGTAGTGACAATGCTTTTGTTCATAACACATTCATGTTCAGGAATCATAAATCCAGTCAAACCAGGGTACATCAACAAGAGAGTTCGAAGGCATTTTTCGAAGAAGGTTGAGATGTAGGGAAATGTTTGAGCTTAACTAGTTAGATATTGTGAGGGATTTATATCAATGCTCACCGAATGGTGATCTGGTGCTGAAGCGTGAGGTCTGCATCAATTCCGAAAGCTTATGCGACTGCTTATTTCGGTAATTTATTCAATGCGACATAAGTAGATAAGTTATGCTGCGAAATTTCGGAGAACATAGATTCATCCAACTTTGAGAAAGCTCATCGTTTCATCGACACTATTACAATACACAGTGGAAACCTAAATTGCTCCGGTCCTTGACCCAAAAATAATGTCTTCGACACGCTTTTCACGACTCTCACTACTAACTTCATAAACCATACCATCTTCGATGAATTAGTGAAAAAGGTCGTGGGCGTTTTGTTTTAATCATCCGATTCGGAAGTTCCTGTATCTGTTTATAAATAGAACAGCTGTTAACACCGCCTCCATTGTTGAGTTCGGATCTACTCGAAAGATGCAGATATTTGTGAAGACGTTGACAGGAAAGACGATCACGTTGGAGGTGGAGCCTAGTGATACCATTGAGAATGTGAAAGCGAAAATCCAAGATAAGGAGGGTATTCCTCCTGACCAACAACGTCTGATATTTGCCGGTAAGCAGTTGGAAGACGGTCGTACTTTGTCTGATTACAACATCCAGAAAGAGTCGACTCTTCATCTTGTTCTGCGTCTACGTGGTGGTATGCAGATATTTGTGAAGACGTTGACAGGAAAGACGATCACGTTGGAGGTGGAGCCTAGTGATACCATTGAGAATGTGAAAGCGAAAATCCAAGATAAGGAAGGTATTCCTCCTGACCAACAACGTCTGATATTTGCCGGTAAGCAGTTGGAAGACGGTCGTACTTTGTCTGATTACAACATCCAGAAAGAGTCGACTCTTCATCTTGTTCTGCGTCTACGTGGTGGTATGCAGATATTTGTGAAGACGTTGACAGGAAAGACGATCACGTTGGAGGTGGAGCCTAGTGATACCATTGAGAATGTGAAAGCGAAAATCCAAGATAAGGAGGGTATTCCTCCTGACCAACAACGTCTGATATTTGCCGGTAAGCAGTTGGAAGACGGTCGTACTTTGTCTGATTACAACATCCAGAAAGAGTCGACTCTTCATCTTGTTCTTCGTTTACGTGGTGGTATGCAGATATTTGTGAAGACGTTGACAGGAAAGACGATCACGTTGGAGGTGGAGCCTAGTGATACCATTGAGAATGTGAAAGCGAAAATCCAAGATAAGGAGGGTATTCCTCCTGACCAACAACGTCTGATATTTGCCGGTAAGCAGTTGGAAGACGGTCGTACTTTGTCTGATTACAACATCCAGAAAGAGTCGACTCTTCATCTTGTTCTGCGTCTACGTGGTGGTATGCAGATATTTGTGAAGACGTTGACAGGAAAGACGATCACGTTGGAGGTGGAGCCTAGTGATACCATTGAGAATGTGAAAGCGAAAATCCAAGATAAGGAGGGTATTCCTCCTGACCAACAACGTCTGATATTTGCCGGTAAGCAGTTGGAAGACGGTCGTACTTTGTCTGATTACAACATCCAGAAAGAGTCGACTCTTCATCTTGTTCTTCGTCTACGTGGTGGTATGCAGATATTTGTGAAGACGTTGACAGGAAAGACGATCACGTTGGAGGTGGAGCCTAGTGATACCATTGAGAATGTGAAAGCGAAAATCCAAGATAAGGAGGGTATTCCTCCTGACCAACAACGTCTGATATTTGCCGGTAAGCAGTTGGAAGACGGTCGTACTTTGTCTGATTACAACATCCAGAAAGAGTCGACTCTTCATCTTGTTCTTCGTCTACGTGGTGGTATGCAGATATTTGTGAAGACGTTGACAGGAAAGACGATCACGTTGGAGGTGGAGCCTAGTGATACCATTGAGAATGTGAAAGCGAAAATCCAAGATAAGGAAGGTATTCCTCCTGACCAACAACGTCTGATATTTGCCGGTAAGCAGTTGGAAGACGGTCGTACTTTGTCTGATTACAACATCCAGAAAGAGTCGACTCTTCATCTTGTTCTTCGTTTACGTGGTGGTATGCAGATATTTGTGAAGACGTTGACAGGAAAGACGATCACGTTGGAGGTGGAGCCTAGTGATACCATTGAGAATGTGAAAGCGAAAATCCAAGATAAGGAAGGTATTCCTCCTGACCAACAACGTCTGATATTTGCCGGTAAGCAGTTGGAAGACGGTCGTACTTTGTCTGATTACAACATCCAGAAAGAGTCGACTCTTCATCTTGTTCTGCGTCTACGTGGTGGTATGCAGATATTTGTGAAGACGTTGACAGGAAAGACGATCACGTTGGAGGTGGAGCCTAGTGATACCATTGAGAATGTGAAAGCGAAAATCCAAGATAAGGAGGGTATTCCTCCTGACCAACAACGTCTGATATTTGCCGGTAAGCAGTTGGAAGACGGTCGTACTTTGTCTGATTACAACATCCAGAAAGAGTCGACTCTTCATCTTGTTCTGCGTCTACGTGGTGGTATGCAGATATTTGTGAAGACGTTGACAGGAAAGACGATCACGTTGGAGGTGGAGCCTAGTGATACCATTGAGAATGTGAAAGCGAAAATCCAAGATAAGGAGGGTATTCCTCCTGACCAACAACGTCTGATATTTGCC